TGTGGTGGTATCCTCTTCTCATCCTAGCACTGGGGAGAAGAGAGGAGGATCCCTGGAGCTCACTGGTCAGCCAGCCTAGCCTAATTAGTGAGCCCCAAGCCAAAGAGAGACTTTGTTTCAAAGGAGATGGAGGTGTTCTTAAGGAAACAACATAGGAATGTCCTGGCTTCCAACTTATGAACACATATGGGTGCGCACAAACACAAAAATATCACCTCTCTTATGCCCAATTCATTTGTAATAATGCCTGCCTCTCCTCTGTTTTTCTCCTCTCCCTGACATTCACAGAAAATTCAGTCAGAGAACCAAACATCCCTAGTGGTTCATGTGAAACAATCTATCAGAGAGACTGATTTCCCTTGTATCGCCTTTGGTTATGCAGAATTTGTCTCAATGACAGAAGAATAGTTATATTACTCATTTTCTCTGCTTCTGTGAGAGTTAGATGAATCTGTTCAGAACCATGTTCCACAATCGCACTAGAGGCCCCTTAATTCCTTGTTTAAGTCTTTCCCATTCAAGCAGTTCAGGTGCAGAGTATTTCCTATAGATCCCCATTTGATTGCTGAGTCAGGAAATTTCCTTTCCTCTATGTTAGTCATTGGACCTGCTTCCCAATTATTTCTCCTATAATTTCAAGTGCTTGTCTTATTGTTCTTTCAAGAGTTTCAAGCACTATGTTAAACAGAAGTGGAGATAGTGGACACCCATGTGTGGATTCTGATTTCAATTGGCATGCTTCGTGTTTTTGTCCATTTAGAAGGATGTTGGCTGTGGGTTTGTTATATATGGCTTTAAGTATGTTGAGGTATGTTCCCTCCAGTCCAGTTCTCTCTGGTGCTTTGAACAAAAATGCATGTTGAATTTTGTCAAAGGCCTCCTTTGGATCAATTGAGATGACCATGTGGTTCATATCTTTGAGCCCATTTATGTGATTTATGATGTTTATTGACTTACGTATATCGAACCATCCCTGCATCTCTGGGATAAAGCCGACTTGATCATGGTGGATGATCTTTTCAATGTGTGTCTGTATGCGGTTGGCAGATCTGCAGGTGGCCGCTGCTCTGAGTGTGCTTGAGAGTGTGCGTTTGTCCTGCAGCCTCCAGGGGGTGGCAGCGGGCAGCGGGACCCAGAAAGAGAACAGTAACTGATCCCCACTGAGTCTGAAACCCCAGGACTATAGATTTGGAGTCCCAGTGAGTGCATGGAAGAGTAAACAAAAAAGGACTAAACATCAGGACAGTGGCTAGGCAAAGCCACTATCATTCCTAAAGACAAGAGAAAGTGGTGACCAGGAGACCCAAGGACCCAAGTACTAAATGCCCTGATGCTATAAGCCTATACAGTACACTTAAAAAATTGGCAGCCAGTATTTTAATATTGGGGAAATCAGCCCCATTCCACACGCACACACACAAAGCCTGGATTATTGGATTCATTTGGAAAAATCAGCTCTGCCACCCTGGCAGTCTCCTGGTGACAACCAGAGGCGCTAAGAACCATCCACTCTGGTGGTCGGGCCTATACTGGGTCACATCTTCATCCTGGCCTCCTGCCAATGTGCAACTATCCTCTGTTTGGCTACATGCACACATCCTATAGGAAGGCAGCTGGGAAATCAGAAGAAGAAATTCAGTGGGGACAAAGAAGTGTCCTTCATCCTGGTCTTAACATCACCCTGGTTGCTCCATAGGTCCAGGAGGGATTTAGCCAGACCCACTTTTTCCTTCTCATGTCCACTCTCTGGCCCCCAGACCAGTGCCGTGGATATCTTCTCTGCAGGCTGTGTGTTCTATTATGTGCTCTCTGGCGGCTGCCACCCCTTGGAGAGTCTCTACCGCCAGGCCAACATCCTCTCGGGGGGACCCCTGTCTGGCTCAGCTGGAAGAAGAGGCCCATGGTGAGGAAGAGCTGGGCTAGCAGACAGGAGGGAGACATGAAGGAGGTCTGAGGCTGGGCAGGTATAAGCCATCCCTTTTCCCTTCTGCCCTCCAGACAAGGTTGTAGCCAGGGACCTGGTAGAAGCCATGCTGAGCCTGCTGCCCTAGGAGCGCCCTTCAGCAGGCTGGGTGCTGGCCCACCCCCTCTTTTGGAGCAAAGCCAAGCAGCTCCAGTTCTTCCAGGTCAGATGGAAATCTTGGGAAGCACCTTATCACCCCAAAGTTTCAAGTTTTGGTCTTGAATAAGAAAGGGGAAGTCTGAAAGGCTAGGAGAAAACAGCCTGGAGCTTTGCCATCTTGGCTCCCTGGGAGCCATGCATCATTTATGGCTTAGCTCCAGCTGCCCTTTGTGTGGAAATACAGCCTATTCTCATCTGCAGTCATTCATGCTCCAGTGTATATATGCTTTCCATTTGTGACCTTGAGCAAGGGACCATGCCTGAGTCACAGTCATCCGTGTCCTTCCCCCCTCCTCCGTCCCGTTCCCCCCCCCGCCCATGCCAAGTTGAGGCTACTTCAACACCTCAGCCATATAACATGACCCTGGCCTTGGGGCTTATGGTCATAAAGCTCAGGAGCTCTGTGGGATCCTAGGATGTCAGTGACTGGCTGGAGAAGGAGCCAGAGCAGAGCCCCCTGGTGATGGCCCTGAAGGCAGGAGGCGGCCACAAAGTGGTCCGGGACAACTGGCACAAGCACATCTCCACACCACTGCAGGCAGGTAGAGGACATACTTGGGATGGGCCTGAGGGGCAGAAGGGACCCACTGGGGACACCTCTGCAGCCCATTTCTCTGGCCACAGATCTGAGAAGGTTCCGGACATACATGGGGACATCAGTGCGAGACCTGCTCCATGCCATAAGAAACAAGGTATGTTCTAGAGCCTGGGAGGGATTGGGAATAGGGAAGGCCTGTGACAGCTGAGCCAGGTTCCCTGCTCTGCCCATCCACAGAAGCACCATTACAGGGAGCTCCCAACAGAGGTGCGCCAGGCACTAGGCCAACTCCCCAACGGCTTCATCCAGTACTTCACACAATGCCTCCCGAGGCTGCTGCTCCACACTCACCACGCCATGAGGATATGTACCTCTGAGAGCCTTTTCCTGCCCTACTATCCGCCAGCCTTGGATGCCAGGGGGCCCTGCGAGATGCCACAAGGAGGAGAGGCAGCCAAGGGCCCCAGAAGTGGACCAAGGAGTTGGGCCTGTGGCTGAAGCTGGCCTCAGGGAGCACCAGAAAAAGACTAGCAGCAGTCTGGCAGCCTGAGGGTGCTAGAGCAGGGAAACACTCTGGGGTCTGGTGGCCCTCAGGGAATACAGGACAAAAAAAGATTTACATATATTTAATGTATATAAAGCTAAGGAAAGGGTAGTCCCCAGTTCAATAGAAATATCTGTACAATTGATACAGTGGGCTGAGGACACAGGACACGGCTGGAGGAACCCACACCCAACATGTACAAAAATAACTTACACAGTAACCCCTACAAGGATGGCACAGCTCTCTGCCCAGGGCCAGGAGGCACTGACAGCAGCCCCAGGAGCCCAGCAGCACAGGCCCAGGGCTAGTAGAGTGAAAGGGCACCAGTCCAAGGGAGGGAGGCCTAGGAGGAGGCCTTGAGGAGGTTGCAGGCTGAACAGGAGCTCAGCAGCTTGTCCACCATGGTGCGGGCATAGCGCAGCTGGCTAGCCAGCTCCTTGCAGCAGCCATACTCCTCCAAGAGGCTTAGGCAGTATGTTCAGAAGTCCCTCTTCTCGTCGATGTAGGTAACTGCGGCCATCAGCGGGCACAGGATGAGTTTGGTGTGGTCCTAGGAGGGACAGAGGGAGAGTGAGGATCCCAGCTGCTAGTGCCTGGGGATGAGGAGGCAAAGGGCCAGGAGGTCATCGCAGCTGAAGGGGGTAGGGCCACCTCACTGCCTTCCTAACTGTGTTCTCAAGGACAGGGACCCCAGCAACACCCAACCCACATGATCACCCCAAGTATACCCCTCTGCATCTCCTGCCCCAGTATACCTGGAAGAAGTTGATCTGAACTGTACCGTTGCTGAGATGCAGGATGATGGCACTGCATGTTCGAAGCCATGTTCGCAAGTAGGGCAGGCGGGCCAGCTCATCGCCTTCCTGGGGAATGATGTTGACGCCTGTCTTTAGCAGGTGTTCGCTCATGTAATTGCAGAATACTTGAGGAGCATGATCTGGTTGGAATGTGAGGGAGGAATTCCTAATGACGGCCTGACCCGGTGCAGCCCCCACACCCACCACACTGCTCCCAGTAGCCAGTGCTTACCTTCTTCATCAAGGGGTGGGAAATCACAGTGAGGTGGTTTCTGTGCCATCTCACTCATGTACTGCAGGCTGTCACCATCATTGTAAAGGATAAGGCGGGTTGAGTCATTGAAGAGCACCCCAACACTGTTGTCACACAGCTGACCCTAGTGCCAGGTGGAATGAAATCTCAGCAAGGCTGGGGGTGGGGGCGGGTGGATATAGGCCTGGAAGGCCTGGGGATATATGCAACTCAGCAATAGAGAGCTTGACTAGCATGCACAAGGCCCTAAGTTCAATCCTTAAACACACACAAGCACTCACTCATCTGGCCACACCTGAGCCTCCCCCAACCCCCATACTAGAAGAAACCTACCAAGGCCATACTTGTCCGAATAGTCCACCCACTTGCTGACCCAGAAGATGGGGATGCAGGCAGGATCCTCAGCCTCCTCTGGAACAGAAACAAACAGATCACTGGTTAAGCCAGCCTCTTCCCTCTGGTCTTCACAGGCAGCCCACCCCACGGGAGTGGGCTAGGCAAACAGATTCACTCTTACTCTGTCATGGTGAGTCAGTGGCTGGTGAACTACCTAGTGCTCCAGGTAAAAGTGATTAAGAAACTGAGCAGACCATCAGTTTCAGATACACCAGGATGCTGGACTCAGTGCATGCAAAAAATTAAGAGAACTAAGACGGGTAAAGGGGTTAGGAAGTGCTGGCTGTGGGTGTCAGGGCAGTGACACCAGAAGACACTAGGGACAAAACTGTGAGCTAGCAAGATTACTGAACTCCCCACAAGATTACTGGACTTTTGTTAAATGATCTACTCAAGATTAAAGATTCTACTACTCTAGAGAAAGTCTGCTGATTTCTGTGCCTTGTGGTGCAGGAAATTTGGTAATGACTTTATTTTTATTTACAATAAAAGTTATTTTTGGGGCAAGGTGGCACACACCTTTAATCCCAGCATTCAGGAGGCAGAGGCAGG